TGCTTTATCCTACCACGTTGATGGTTACTTCTTTGATAGTTGCATCCGAGATTGCCAATTCCTCTGAGCTGTCCATTTATCAAGGTGATGGTTTCATCGACTCCATCATCTTAACGATTACTTTATTCCATCACGTTGACGGTTGCTTATTTAACGGTTGCATCTGAGATTGTCGATCCCTTCAAGCTGCCAATTCATCAAGTTATCGATAATTCTGTTCATAAATGACAAAACTCTACTCTCATCGACTAAGTATATCATATGTCGATAATAACCAAGTTGGACATTTTTTTGTGTAAACAAATGTCCCTTTTTAAATTGACCTGACCATTTCTCTGTCAGCACCTAATTATTGTAATCTGAGTTTAGCCACTTGATCGGGATTCGCAAGTTGATAAACTTGCCCTTGCTACCTCCTAGGGTCAAGGTAGATATGTCAATAGACTTGACCTTCCGACCCCCTAGGTTCAGGGTAAACAGGATTTTCAAGCCTTTGTAAAATTCTCACTGGTGATGGGATCACTTGGCTTAAATTATTTTCACCGCTTAATTGATTAAGAGTTGGAATAACATACCCGGAAACTGTTGTATTGGATTGGATCTGTATAGACTGATTCGAGATCTCGGGCTTAGAGTTGACATCGTTGATCGCATTGACGACCATCGACCTGATCACATCATAGATTTGTCTCGCTATATGATTCACCATCTTATTCTGCCATTCCTCGAACAACCTCTTCATGGTAGTCCCCACTGACTCTCTCGCCTGCTCCTCCATAAAGTACCATAGGATTTTGACATTGCTCCCTTGGCTTGGCTCTACTGCTACAGGAGCGGTTGAAGTCTGGTACTAAGTAACCCCTTCACCAGAGTTGCTACCCGTAGTGTGATCAAGCTCTAGGTGATTGTTTATTCTAGGCATTGTACTCAATCAACCACACTGGTCCCACTAGGCGTGTAAAGATGTTTCGTCGAAATTCAACTCCGTAATGAAATACCTTTCACCAAAAGTCGTTCTTTAATTTTTTATTAGTGGAGATAGGTTCTGCGACAATTCCCGACATAAAATATCACAGGTAGACAAGGAAATTGACAACTTCACTTTAAACAGAAACGAAAGTTCACAAATTTTGCCGAAATTTAATCGACGACAAAACCTAGGAATGTAAAGATGCAACACCAGAATTTAATCAACGACGCGGATCTGAAAACTACAGTTAAGAAGCACACCGAAATTTAATCGACGACGCGAATCTGAAAACTATAACTACGATATAGAAATTGAAAGATAACATGTTTGTTTGTTTGTTTGTGCGCGAGGGGTCTCCGAGGAGTACAATGTGGCTAATTAAAGCCTATAATCGACGATTATTAACAAAGATTACAAATAGAGGTTACAAACGCTTACGTCGATAGTTACAACGGTTACGTCGATAGTTACATTGACTTCACTATCTTAACAATTTCTTCGACTCTACTATTTAACAGTTGCTTTAGTCCATCACGTTTAAGGGGTTACTTCTTTTACGGTTGCATCCAAGATCGTCGATTTCATCATGCACTCGATTTATCAAGTTATCGATAATTGTTCTCATACCAAACTCTGCTTTCATCGACTGAATCTATCACATGTCGATAATAACCAAAGGAGATAATTGGACACTTTGGAAGCCGATTACTATCATTCAACTTTGAGGTAATAAAGATTGCTCATCGGGAGCAAATTAGCATCAAGGTTCTTGAGGCGCCTCCTTTTTCGGGTCTTCCACGAGAACATCTTCAATGCTAGACCATAGAAGTTGACAAACCACAAGAATCCGTACCGTCTCACGTATATTTGCGTATCTAAAAGAAAAGAATTGCGTACATCTTATGATGCCAGACAACAAACACTACCGTCACGTACGTCAATATTATTACTTAAAGTAAAGAGGATCTCCTACTTTTTAATATTATATTTTGATTGGGATGATTAGAAAGTAAAAAAAAGGGGGAGTTAATTAATCATTATGAAGAAGAATAAAAAAATTTGAAAGGATTAAGTTATAATTTATAAAGCTGTTTGGATACTTACGAGGGATAATGAAATGAAAAAGAAAATGTATTAACGACATAAATATCCTTTTATTTATTAAGAAATAGACAATAAAAAAAAAACAAAGAAAAAAGGAAAGGTTTGCTTATATAAATGTACACCTCCCTCCTAGCCCCTCTATATATGGACTGATTCAGAAGGAGTTCAAAGTTCCGGAAAATTATCTAAAAAATCCAAAAGATATTGCACTTTTATCAATTCAGTTTTAAACCTTTTAATTGTACAAATTGAGTCCTAAACATTTTCACGTTATACCAATTGAGTCTATCAGGCTAATTTTGGCCTGAAATCGCTAACGTGGATTCCAACCATCCTTAAACAATTTTTAATAACATTTTATATTTTTTTTATTTTTTCTTTTTCTTTTCTTCTATTTTCCTTCTTTACTTTTTTTCTTCTTCTTTTTTCCTTTTCACTTATTTTCTTTTTTTTTCTTATCTTTTGTCTTTTTTTTCTTTTTTCTATCTGCCGGCCTTAGGTGAGGGTCGCCCTCGCCCGGGGCCAATGAGGGTCCAGGCCAAAGGCCAAGATCGTAACATGAATCTAATTTGGTTATGGGTTGTACGAAGCGGAGCCACCATGGTATCAACTAGTTGGGTGAGGATTTTCTCAAAAGTTTTTATCCTTTTCCAAACTCAAGTTTGAGTGAGTTTGTTTCGCAGAAAACACATAATTTGGAAAATATTTTCCAAATGATGATCGCTTAAATCACTTACAAAAATGAATGATCAAAAAATATTTTCATCGTCCATTAAAATGTTTAAATATAAATCGTCGTCGATAATAAAAACATTTTTCATAGGCTAATTATTTCAAAGGTTACAAGTGATCATTTTTTGGAAAATATTTTTCAAATTATTCATTTTCCGCAAAATAAATAGAGCTTTTGTTGTTATTCATATTACAGAACTCACGGACTCAATTTCGCCGAAAAGTTTCAACAAAACACATTTTAAAATGTGCGTTGGTATTAAAATTGATGAAGAATGTTGAGGGTCCTTTGTTGATTCTTAAATGGGAAACATGGATTAACAAGAAAAATAAATGTACAAAAACTGGATGTAATCGTGGTCAGCCGTGTAAAAAGAGCATTGAAATGTAAAGATGACAGAAAGATAAAATTAGAGAACTGGTGTTCGTTAATTGATTGGCAATCATTTTCTCGTATTATAATCCCAAGTTTCATTTACCAATACTCATGGCTCAACAACTGGTAATTTTCCCTTATATTGCCTGTCTACAACTTCTCATCGCCTTTGTTGGTTACTTATAGTTGCCGACCAAACTGAATTTTGCAAATTTTCCGGTCCAAGTCAACTTGACAGTCAACCTACTCCGGTCTCCATAAGATTCCATGAAATAGCAGAAAGCTGAAGGCTTGGGCAATCTTTAGTGTCAACAACCCATGATTTAAGTTTATTCCGAATTAATTGTTTCCTTAATCTGTAATAACTCATTACATAAAGTCACTACCATAGTAATGGCCTATAATTGTCTACCATACTACGCTCCATAAAAATAATCTATTTATTTATCTTTTGATAAAAAAAAATTCTTCTTGCAATAATCTCTCTCCTCATTGTTACCATTTATCATATATTAATTTATCACTTTTGGGGTTAAGGTTTTTTCAATCAAATTTGCGATGAGCTTTTGCCTCTTTATCTAATCTTTTCTTTGCACAAAACATGAAATTGATGGATCATTAAGCTTGGGCTTGGGCTTGGGCCGAGCCCGTACGTTTGCTCTGTTCAAATCTGATGGATAAAAACGTGCATGAGAGAAATGACCAATCTCCCATACTTGATTAATATACTTTTATGGATATTTGTTCAAAGCTTTTTTTTTTATGTTATTTTGCATTTTTTATTTCAATAATTCAATCTGACCTTTTATCCACAAATTTTCATATCTCAGTCACGCGAAATTTTCCAAAGATTTTGTTGGTATAAACTGAAAGATTTTAATTAGTTATTATAGCCCAATCGAGGATGATCGATTCTTGATTGAATTGTTAAATACGGCTTCAAATCAAAAGTAAATGGAGTATGTACGCTAACGCGTAGATAGTAGATTGGAAACTGTTGTTGAAAATAAATGATCAAACAATACAATGAACACAACAAGAAAATAGATTGAGCACTAAATTTACGTGGTTCGGTTGGAGTGACCAATATTCACGAGAAAAGCAATACGGCATTCCACTATACATCAAGCAAAAATAACTGCTATTTCCTAGAAAAAGGTTCGTGGGCTTTGATTTTCTCATGATTTTGAAGTAGAGAAATAGTTGATCCTTTGATTAATCACTAATATAAGGTCATTCAAACGTGTCCACAATCTACATATAACACAAAAATGGAGATTAATTGAAAAACAGAGCCTTAGTTTGTGTAGGGAAATCATTACACGAAAAATCCTATGTTCCATTTATTTCGCGGAAAATAAACGATCTGAAAATTTTTTTTTCCTAAAAACGATCAACTTGTACCTCTTACAGAAATAAATGAACAAAAAATATTATCGCCGTTCACAAAATTTTCAGACATAAACTGTTGTCGGTAACGAAAGAAAACACTTTTTTATGGACTAATCGTTTCAAGCGATTATTTTTAGAAAAATATTTTTCCCCAAATCGTATTACGTCCGCGGGTCGGATTGCTTCTTCCAGGACGTTGTGAATGTGGACCGGGCCCATGGCCTCTCGAGCCCAAGCTCAGGCCCAAATCAACGTCCGCCGGCTCGGTCCAATCAAACCGGACAGAATAGGCGCGAGCCGGCCAGGAACCCGGTTCGGATTTCGGCAATTGTTTTTTCTCAGGGTCTTCGTATTAGTTTTTACATCGTTGAAGGCGGAGGAAAATTCTGCCATTCTCCTCTGCTTCTGCTTCTTCTTCTTCTTCTTCTTCTTCTTTCACTGCTTCTTCTTCTTCTTGAGGTCGGCGGGGCGCACCAGAGAGAGAGAGAGAGGGAGGGAGGGAGAGGAGATGAGCGGGCACGACTCCAAGTACTTCTCCACCACGAAGAAGGGCGAAATCCCCGAGCTCAAGGAGGAGCTCAATTCCCAGTACAAGGTCCCCGTCCCCCTCCCCCCAAATCTCGTCCTTTGTCCGCCCGTTTTGATATCCGGATCTTCGCCGATTCGTTTCCGTGCCTTGTCCTGCTGGTTTCGATTGAGGATTATCGGTTAGATCTGTCGGTTTGCGCTCTGATTGCTCCCTCGGTTCCCGTCGAATTGTTGATACGATTCGGGGCTCGAGGTTGTCCCCGGCCGGTGCGGTTGAGGGTTTTCTGTTGTTTTCCGGTGTCGGGGGGGGTGTCTTGTGGTTCTGTTTGATCTGGGGCCGGGTGGGGTGGGGTGGGGGGAGAAATCGCGGGGAACGTGAGATTGGATTAAGGTCCATATGAGCTCTGCTGCAATCCGATTTCGACCGTCGCATTGTTTGTAGTTGATTGGAGCGGTGCGGAGCTCTGTATAGATAGTTAGATTTGCCCTTTGGATAGATCTTGATTCTTTTGGCTCTGTAAGGGACGACTCGTATGAATTGATGGATCGTACGTGAGAGGATCGGGGGATTGCGGCATTTCTCCGTGTCGACGCGATTGTATCTTTAGTTTTTGGTTTCTGGCTATTGTTTAGCTTCTCGTGGCTCAGACGGTTGTTTTATGATAATGTGGCGTGCCGAGAACTTCGAACCATTTGGCGCAACCAGTTATGTCAATAGCTTTTATGCCGTTAGATCTTTGACCATGTCGAGACTGGATGGAACTATCGATACCCCAGAAAGCAAAATCATTTGTTTGTATGTATTCATGTAGTTGATGCGAACATACTAACTTCCCTTGGTTAGTGTGCTAGAGCTGTTATATAGGTTGTAGCTTGATTTCTAATTATAACTTGGTCGGGTGGTGCAGTTTCAGAGAATTCCAGGAAAAGCTTGGTTACATTTTGAAATTCATTTCAGCATGTTAATCCTTCCGATTATCTATTGGTTAAATACTGCTTTTACTTTATATTGATGTTGGTGATTCCTTGCTATATTATGCAGGATAAGAGAAAAGATGCTGTGAAGAAAGTAATTGCTGCAATGACAGTGGGAAAGGACGTTTCTTCACTATTCACTGATGTTGTAAATTGCATGCAAACAGAAAACTTGGAGTTGAAAAAGCTCGTGTATCTGTATCTGATCAATTATGCGAAAAGTCAGCCTGACTTGGCAATACTTGCAGTAAATACATTCGTGAAGGTAGGCATTATGGTTAATGTACTGTATCTTCTGGCATGACCACTTTATTAGTTTTGTTCAATATCCCAGAAAATGGTTTTCCAATTGTCTTCTAATCTATCCTACAATAAGTGCCGGTGGTCACATGCACATAATAAAGTTATTCTTGCAGATTAGACAAATTATGTTGTTTTCTGAAGCAGTTTGGCTACCGAATTGTGCAGGATTCACAGGATCCGAATCCGTTGATTCGTGCTTTGGCTGTACGGACTATGGGATGCATTCGTGTTGATAAAATTACAGAGTACCTCTGTGATCCCCTTCAGCGATGTCTTAAGGTTAATTGAAGCCTTCACTTCAACTGTTCTTTTTTTTAATATCTTGGCTATTGAAATCTAGAATGCATGTCTAAGTTGGATATGTGGGTTTTTTTCTGAGCCATCTGCCACCTCTCACTATGAATTTATACTGACATTTCAATTGGTTGGTTTGCCACCTCATTGTTCCTGCCTGACTTGCTGATCGTGTGCTTATCTTTGGTTTGTTTATCAGGATGATGATCCATATGTTCGTAAAACAGCAGCAATATGTGTTGCCAAACTCTATGACATCAACGCTGAATTAGTGGAAGACCGTGGTTTTCTAGAATCTCTAAAGGATTTGATCTCTGACAACAATCCAATGGTTGTGGCAAATGCCGTTGCTGCTTTGGCTGAGATTCAAGAGAATAGTAGTAGACCCATTTTTGAGATCACTAGTCACACACTCTCGAAGCTTCTTACGGCTCTAAATGAATGCACCGAGTAAGTTTGCATTTAATAACTCTTTATATGTCATCTCTCGCTTTTTTCGCATCTTCCGTAGAAAGAAAGCTTGTACTTTAAGTATGGAGATCTACTTGTTTTTTTCTACCATGTTCATACTTCATAGTGAAAAGCAAATGCTGCATATCATTTATATGCTGGGGCATCTTTTTTTTTTCTTTTTTGTTTGTTCCTGCTGGCTTTTCCACCAGTGAAGTGGTGTACTGTGTTGGAACTGCACTTAGTATTAGGAAATTAATGTCGATCACTGCATAATCCAATGGCTTAGATTGTGACTTTGTCTTAACTTCGAATATTATGTTTGTTGGGAGTCAATTCATGGAGGAAAATTGGCTATGGATGTTCATTGTAATAGTAATAGATATAAAATTAAGACGAGTGTATACTGGACGGATACACAAGCATTGAGTCTCATGCTACTTTGTGCCTCTGCCCCTTAAAAGGTGAGCGGATGCAGATATCTGCTGCAAGTTGTTTGACTTCTCCAAAGTGCCATCCTTTCCCTTTTCCAATGTGAATACAAGTACAACCTCTAGACAATACTTTGATTATTGAATAAGGGTATTAATTGATTGTACTATCTGTTGGTTTTGTCATCTTACGGGTTATCAATGGTTTGCCACTAGCATTAGCAAAATGCTCTATGAAACATGTTAATTCATCATTTTTATGAGAAATAGTACGTTCTACCGTGAAAGATGCAGGGATCAAAAGTCGACATCCATGTTTTGTGCTTGAATGTCTTATCAACTCGGTTCACATGACCGATTATGTGAGTGTGAGAGTATTATGTGGACAATCTTGTGTTGCCTTTGTTTCATGGGCATGTAATGATGTTCGTAGAACTGGAATGAGTGGAAATTTATAGCATGACTGTCAAGCAACTAGTTTTCAATGGATTTGCAAGAAGTTGGCTTGGAACAGTATGTAATCATGTGAATGCATGCCTTCTTGTGAGTGTCAATATCTATGAGTAACCATCTGTTGCTTTTGGTTGCTTTGGCAGTAATTTTGATATGTTAATTCTAGCTTACACCATGGGGTTTATTTTTCCATGTGATTTTAGTGTTCTTTTAGTTTTGAAAGTTAGAGTTGACTTTGAAATTATATAATGTCAGTTTTGCATTTTTCAAAAAAACAGAATGAATTGAATTTTAGGTGCAAGCAGACGTTTGGACTTTTGTGTGTAAAGTAGGCCGATGGCACAAAATCGACTCTCCACGCCACCAAATGCATGCAATGCCATGTTTAAGCCTCTCATCCGGTCTTTGGTTTGTGTGTTACTTCGTCCAGAAGGTTTACACAAGGTTTATCTACCTAAGATGGCTAACTTCTCGTCATAACTAAAAGAGAGAGAGAGAGAAAGAGAAAGGATACAGCATGTTTTTATATGGTCCTTGTCCTTGCAATTGATAATTCCCAGTGGATCAATGTGATGTCTCCATGACAAGTTCTGTTAACATGATGGATGGAACTGCAAATTGTAAGCATGGTTAAGTCAGCTGTTCTTTCGGATGTTGGTTTGTACAAGTTCTGCTTTCAAGTTTGCATCAGCGATGGGTGCTATAGCAACACTGTTAATTTGGAAGCTTTAAAAAGCGTAGTGACAGGATTCGCACTTAGCAGTAGAGGACAGTAGAAACCTTTGGAAAACTATAGCAACCAAAAGCGGATTTTTGCCTAAATATGTAATGGACCTGTGACAGGTGCACCTGATCATATTTAATCATATGACCGCGTTCAGAGTTGCTAGACAATATATTCACATGCTACACATTCACAACTTTTATATGTGTTTTCTTACGTTGACTACCCACTTGTTTAGATGGGGTCAAGTTTTCATATTAGATGCCCTCTCCAAGTACAAAGCTGCTGATGCTCGGGATGCTGAGAATATAGTGGAGAGAGTCACTCCAAGACTACAGCATGCAAATTGTGCTGTTGTACTTTCAGCTGTTAAGGTATCCATACGAGTTATCGTTGTTGTCACTGTGTCATTCCTTGCGCAGTACCTAAGCTATATTCTTTAGTTTCTAATAACCTTTTGCCTTACTATTCTTTTAGATGATCCTCCAACAAATGGAACTGATTACGAGTACGGACGTGGTTCGGAATCTGTGCAAAAAGATGGCTCCTCCTCTTGTTACGTTACTCTCTGCAGAACCAGAGATACAGTATGTTGCATTAAGAAATATCAACCTTATTGTCCAAAGGCGGCCTACTATTCTTGCCCATGAAATTAAGGTTGGTTCATTTAGTCTTGCCAACTCAAAGTGACCGTGAGCGGGTGCATTGTGGGTGAGAAAGGCATGCTTATTCATCTCTCATCATTGCCAGGTGTTTTTCTGCAAGTACAATGACCCAATTTATGTGAAGATGGAGAAGTTAGAAATCATGATAAAGCTTGCTTCGGACAGAAATATTGACCAGGCATGGAAACTGACGAGCATGTAACCTGTTGATTTTGCTTGTTTACTCATAATGGTTAATTTTATCTTCTCTTATTGACTAAATGCTGCAGGTTCTGCTGGAGTTCAAGGAGTATGCTACCGAAGTAGATGTGGATTTTGTTAGAAAGGCAGTCCGTGCTATTGGTCGCTGTGCGATCAAGTTGGAGAGAGCAGCAGAGCGATGCATCAGTGTTTTGCTGGAGCTGATTAAGATTAAAGTCAATTATGTGGTTCAAGAAGCTATTATAGTTATTAAAGACATATTCAGAAGATATCCTAACACGTTAGTCTCAATATCTGTAATTATTGGAGTACGTGAACTGGAAAGCAGTTCCATTCATCTCTTAATTCTGTTTTCAACTTTTGTATGTCCTACAGCTATGAGTCCATTATTGCTACCCTATGTGAGAGCTTAGACACTCTCGATGAGCCAGAGGCCAAGGTAATCTTTAACGTGTCATTACTCTTTTAGTGTACTGACCATATTATATGGACATTGCACATTAAGCTTGTTTGATTCATTCTGCTCAAAATTTTAACCACCTTGAGATCTCTCCTTTTTCCACTTTGCAGGCATCAATGATTTGGATTATTGGTGAATATGCAGAAAGAATTGACAATGCTGATGAGCTGCTAGAGAGCTTTTTAGAGAGTTTCCCTGAAGAGCCTCCACAAGTCCAGTTGCAATTATTGACAGCAACTGTCAAATTATTTTTGAAGAAGCCAACTGAAGGCCCGCAGCAAATGATCCAGGTTTGACCGCCTTCATATTTATATTTATTGATATGTCCGCTTATTGTCGGTTCATTTCTTTTGTTTGTCAAATTTTTCATAGATTATTTGAGATGCTGCCTGTGGTTGTTGCTTATGCATTTTGAGCTCGTCATTGCTGTTTGGTAACCTTTTCTTAGCACTCCCCCTCTCTTGTAAGCTGAACCTTGTACGTGAAATACAAGTTGTGGACATTCACATAGTTGCATTGATGCTATAACCAAGGAACAAAAAGAGTGATAGACAAAATAAATATAACTGAGTGTTAAAGTCTGAACTCACATATGCTCTGATGCCATGTTAGGCACGGGGCCTATCCCATTTTTGAAGTTTGTGCGACAAACAATTTGCTTGTTGGGAAACTTCCTTGTTTGAATCTCTCCAATCTTGTCATTTACCTCTCCATTCATAATCAGCTGTCACAATTCTATGCCAAATCTATGTGTGAGAAGAATTTTCAAAGCATTTAATTATTTAATTTATGCCTTCATATGGCAAAGTATGCTTTGAGGTAAAGTTGGCGGGTCCAACGATTGTATGACTGAATTATCCATGTCCGCATTGTCGTGCCGAAGTTCCTTATTTAGCATGTAGGAGGTTTGGCATATTCCCTGCATTGCAACTCAAAATGCAAAAAAGAGATATTCGTTCATGCTGGTTGAGTTGTTTCTTTGCAATTGATAATGGTGATACCTATTAATCTTTCTGTTACTTTGGAGAAGTTCTGTATAGGCTGTGCAGTTCATCTAGCGGCAAATTCACATTTCTAAGGTATGTCTTGTTGTGCTTTACAGGTTGTTCTGAATAATGCCACTATAGAGACAGATAATCCCGATCTACGTGACCGTGCATACATTTACTGGCGACTTTTATCAACTGACCCTGAGGTGTGCTTTTGTTGTACATTTTACTCCTTCTAGCATTTATATCCCACACATAGGTATACATATATTTTCCAATTGGGTTGTTGATGGTTTTAAGAAGGATGGTGTCTCCAAGTTAAATGGCTCCTCCCTTTCTTTTCCGGCACCAAAGAAATATCACTTTTCTCTTTCTGTTTGTTCGATACATATCACCCATTTGTGCCTGGGATATGCGCACTATTGCCTTTCTTAATATACCGTCAAAACTTTTCACATTTATATGCTGAATTGATATCCTCAGGCAGCTAAAGATGTCGTGTTAGCTGAGAAACCAGTGATCACTGATGATTCCAACCAACTCGATTCTTCTCTTCTTGATGAACTTCTCGCAAACATTGCAACATTGTCCTCTGTGTATCACAAGCCTCCAGATGCTTTTGTGACCCGTGTCAAGACAACGGTCCAGAAAACGGAGGATGATGACTATCCTGATGGAAGTGAATCAGCTGAATCATCTGCGCATGTAGGTGATGGGGTTATGTCACCACAAGCCAGTTCAAGCAGTGTTCCAGCTGCTACAAGGGAAGCTGATCCTGCACCAGCCCCAGCTCCAGTACCGGATTTACTTGGTGACTTGATAGGCCTGGATAACAATGCCATTGTCCCGGCTGACCAGCCTTCTGAACCTGCAGGGTGAGCCCTTGAAAATGCACCTCTTTATGTTTACCAACAGGATGGCACAAAAAATTGGAACACGGAAACATGCAAATGTGTGCATTATTATTTATACTTGCTGTTCTTTTGAACTGTGTAATGCTATTTTGACTTTTCAATTCTCGAGTACTTAAAACATCAGTAAATGACAATCATTTTCTCCGAAGCTTGGTGATTGGAATAATTTAGATATATTGGTTTTTTTCGCCTTCTGTTCTATTTGTGACTTGGCATCTTCATGCCGAGAACTGGCATGTTCTCCAAAGATAACTGAATGGATCTTTCCATTGTGTATTTCAGGCCTCCTCTCCCAGTATTGTTGCCAGCTTCAACTGGTCAAGGTCTGCAAATTAGTGCCCAGCTGATACGGCGAGATGGTCAAATATTTTATAGTTTGTTTTTTGAGAACAACTCACCAGTTGCTCTGGATGGATTCATGATTCAGTTCAACAAGAACTCATTTGGTCTTGCAGCTGCTGGACCCTTGCAGGTACTGAGCAGTTAGTTATTGTTGGATCAATTTATGAGCATCTTGTATTACAAAACAATGTACCCCCCTTGCAGGTTCCACAATTGCAACCGGGAACATCGGCAGGGACTCTCCTGCCTATGGTTTTATTTCAGAACTTGTCCACTGGTCCTCCAAACTCGCTTTTGCAGGTGGCTGTGAAAAATAACCAACAGCCAGTGTGGTACTTTAATGATAAAATTTCATTGCTAGCATTCTTTACTGAGGATGGGAAAATGGAGCGTGCAAGTTTCCTTGAGGTAAATTCTTTTTCCATATCATTTTTTGTTCAAGTGCAAAGAGATTATTGAATCCTCAGCTTCAAGGCCCAAAAGGCAGAACCCTCTTTTTATCAGTTGTGAGGGTTGTGTTTGGCTCTTGTGGTCCCTCTCACCCATCAATTTTGCCAAGAAGGGAAGAAATGAAATTATACATTTGCTTTCAGACCTGACTTTTCTGTTGAAATTCAAGCCGGGTTCAGTAATTCATATTGTGCAGAAAAGCTAACCGAGCTGTTGAAGACCTGTTTTTGTTTACCAATTTCATGAGTTGAATATACTGGTTATGAACAGTTACTCTATCATGGGAGCAATACTTGCATGGGCCCAACTCATGAACCTAATGTATATGAGCCGTCAGATTGCGTGGGTCCTACGTGGGGCTGACCAAATCTGATGGCACGTATGCATTGGACTCGCATGATTCCGGTGTACATGATATTTTTTTCCTTTTCTGGGGTTTTCATGTTATCGCATGCTAAAGCAGAGCAATTTGGTATATGGCCATTTACTACAACTATAGGTGGTGCCTTCCGCAGAGATAGCAATCGAGTCCTAAAACTTTCAAAAAGTGCAATCAACAGAAGGACTTGAATGGACCAATTCGACAAGTTTTAGGACTTGATTGCACTTTTTGAAAGTTTTAGGACTTAATTGCACTTTTATGACAAGTCTTACAACTTAAATGCATTTTTTGAAAGTTTTAGGATTCAATTGCACTTTCGTAACAAGTTTTTGGACTTTCAATGCATTTATCCCTTTTTTTAATAGATTAGTATGAGCATATGCACATTTGCAGTTATCTATATGCCTTGCTTGCCTGAATGCGTATGTACTCTTCTTGATATGGTGCATATATTTCTATGTTACTTTATTTAGTGTCCTTACGAAAATAGCAAGAAAATTGATGAGGCATGATGAACATCAGTACTGAAACTTCTGTGGAAACTTTACATTCAAGACACGCTGAAAATCTTGTGTTTCTGGTGACTATTTTTTGAAAAAGCAAACTTGCTAATAGCAATCATCATATCTCTAGTCTCGATTGCAATCTGTTCATCCTTATATCAATGCTATGTTATTGACATGCAGACATGGAGGTCCCTTCCCGATTCTAACGAGGTCTCAAAGGATTTACCTGGCGCTGTGGTGAGCAATGTAGAAACGACTCTCGACCGGATGGCTGCCTCGAACTTATTCTTCATCGCGAAACGCAAGCATGCGAACCAGGACGTGTTCTACTTCTCCGCTAAGATCCCACGGGGCGTCCCGTTCTTGATTGAGCTCACTCTGGTCGTTGGAGTACCAGGGGTCAAGTGTGCGATAAAAACGCCAGGTCCTGAGATGGCACCTCTCTTCTTCGAAGCTCTGGAGACAATCCTGAAGAGTTGATTCACCACCCCCAGAAGTTTTTCTTTCTACATTATTGGTTTCTGCCTCTTTTGATCAGTGTTGTAAATTCGTAATGGCTTACGAGATTTTGGTAATTTGTGTGGTTCATTTTTTCGAAAGTCTGGCCAGACACTTGATTTTAATTGTACCATTGAGATCGTTTAGCTAAAATTATTTTACTGGAGATTCCACTTCGATTGTGCTTCGAAAGCGTTAACCATCAATTGTTGCATTTAGAAAGGCTGTGAACTGCTAACGCCGCCGAGAAACAGAAATTATGTTGCCACTTCATTTGGATTTTGGTTCCTTGTACTTGTGTGTTGTACGCAGCAATTTTGTTTCTCGATTGATAAGAAGACTATCTGGTCTCTGCCGAACCGCAAGATTTTGACTAAGCAATAAAATTAAAGGTCAATCCGGTCTGGAAAGTTCGTTTCTGTAGGATGTTGATGTTATGAATCGAGGCATTCTAGATGATGTTTGGGGATGACAATGAACAAGCAGTTACAACTCAATCGGCACAATATAATGTTTTTGGCATACTTATGGGCCAAATAAAATATTGTATATCATCGGTTTTCGATAGTCCACTATGAAAATTGATGTACGGGTACTAATTCGGTTTTAAACTTTTTAATTTTGTCAATGTAATCCTGAACTCTTGAGCTAGATTGGAATGTAATCCTTTTGGCTAATTTTGTTGGAAATTGCTGATGTGGCATTACTGATCATCTTACGTGGCACGCTAGATTTATGCTGATGTAATCGTCTTTGCCTTTTGACCTATCCCGCACCATATAACTCTTTTAAATATTAAATTTAGAGTTCAATGTTATATGATTCATGTAAAATAGGTGTTTGCTGTCACCTTATCACACTACTAAATGACAATCATATTTGCCTTACTTTTAAACCGCTCAACACAAACTTAAATAAGTTTTTAGGATACAAACTTAGTATGATGTAGATATAACACGAGAAAAAAACGAGACAATAAGGATAGAGATGGGACATATAAACTTGCCACTCGTGAGGTGGATACGGGGCCACCTCAATTATCGTGAAGCGGTGGTGGGGAATGCAAGCCCCGCTCCAGGTGTCCACTCGATCACATTGCCATCTCTATGAAGCAAATTCGCGTTCGATATTGCGCATTCATAAGCAAAGATATTTCACCAAAAGTTGGATTGTAATATTGAGAAGAACTAGATATAGCTAATGTGCCTACATGGTGCAAAGCATGGGGGCCGCAAGACCTACAAAACGCAGAGAGTCAAAAGTAGAAATCACCCCCCCAAAGGTATTTGGCTCGTTCCAAGTGGATTTGAATCATTTTACTTTTGACTCGTAACGCGTTTTGCACATTTTTAACATTTTTTTGGAGCGTGCGGACTTCCGAAACCTATTCCTATATAGAATTTAATTAGACTACTTTCGAATATCAAATACTCATAGAAATCACCCCCATTTTTTGGGTTTTTATTTTTATTTCTTCTTCGGGCAAACACCGCAAAAAACTCCAAGCAAGGCCCACCGTGGCGTGAACACCCCCAAACTTTTTTTTATGGGTTTCTCCAAAAACCCTAAATAAATATCCCCAACAATTTTTTGGTATCACGAAAAAACTCCGACCCAAACTTATACGTGTGTGACGTATATACCCTCCATTTCAATTCCATCTAGGGTGTACTTGTCACACTCATATAAGCTTCGGGGTTTGTTATGACACGAAAAAAAGAAGTCTAGGGGTACTCGTGCGCGTCCAGTGTTTCCAGCAAACACAAAATGAAAGTTCCGGATATTCATGTCGCGGTGAATATAATTCGGGGATCCTTCGTGGTACTAAGTCATTTTTCCCCTCGCAAACAAAAAAAAAAACAAAACACAGGAACACCATGCGAAGAACATTAAGAATAGAGCTACAATACTAAGTCATGATGTAGTAGACAAGAGAGAGAAAGAGATGGGGGACGGACTAGGGAGAGGGGAGGGGGGCCCATGTTTTTTGAATGGTGAAAAGCAGAAAAGCGAGGGTGCGCTCCAGCTGCAGCAGGGTGGGGGGGGCCGGACTCCAAATCCAAATTCAAATTTTATGAAATTTCCATCCCCACCACTTTTCCTCCCAACTTTTTCCCCTCAAAACTCAACTTGGGTATTGCACAAAGTTTTGGTAGCATCGCAATTCTACTGCTGCTATATCCACACGCAGCCCCGTCCCTTCCCCCCCCGCCCCTAACCGACACGTGTCCGTCTTTTCTCTTGTTTTGCTCCCAATTCACACGGCTTTTGTGTTTTTTGGGGGAACAGGGTGAGCGTCCGTTTCGTCTTGTTTGAAGTTTTGCTCTCTTTCTGTTTTTTCCGGGGGCCCGAAAAATTTATTTGTTTTTTTTTTTGGGCTGTTGAGCGTGTGCACGAGAGTTGTCGACATACGACAGCGACTTGGGCCGAGGTTGCCATCGGGAAACCCTAAGTCCGGGGGTCCTAGGGCTCGGGGGCTTCGGCCGCGGGGGATCTAGGGTCCCAGCCGTCGAGGGCTTCGACCCGATCGTCGCGCGGGGGGTTGGACGTGGACGACGAGGGCTTTAAGGGTTACGACTACTGAGGGTTCCGGTCTGACCATTTGAGGATGGGAGGAGATGGTGGCGGTATCGACGTCGGTGGAGGCGACGATGAATTTTTTACGAAAGATGCCGGTTTTTTAAAAGGCATAAATTACCCTTTGAAATTGAAGTACAAATTATTATCGAGCATGAAAACATTTGTTTGTTACGTACTTTTACTTATTGATGCGAAGAAACGAAAAGAGATGAAAGTCGTCAAGGGTCCGGTGCCCTCTCCCCTTGAATGTCATGAGGGGACCAACAAGGGTCATCACCAACTCTCTGATAGATAGGCTTGGTATTTGATGTGCTGTTCTAAAATTCTGTATTAGTGTTTGCACCGATAAGTGATCAGGTTGTCAACATGAATAGACACGTGACTAGAACATTGAATATTGATAAGCAATGACCCATTGTCGACGACTAAATCCGTATTGATGTTGGCGCACATTGATGATTGTCACCAACCGGTTGTCGACCTACGATGACACGTGGTCGACGACGATCAATTAGTAAGGATTGACGAGCTATCGAGGTGTTAGGAGAAAGCTAAATACATAAAGAACATCGAGATACGATTAAATGTTCAGAACCGATGGAGAACAGAACGATTGAGTATCGTGGAGCAACTGACATGCGTTTATAAAAGGAATAATCGCTCGGGAACTAGATCATAGCGTCGCGAGAACATGGGCGCAAGACTCTTGGGGATGGAAGAACATGGATATAACCGCCGCAAACCACTTGGGTGTAGTTATGGCACAATCATTATAAATACCATCGATCATCTACTATAGAGCTCCCCGCGCAAGTCAAACAAATTTACTGTCTTTTGGCTATCTTTATTTTCCTACACTATACTTTTATTTTCCAAACTTGCATCGTCAATTAAATTCCGGTGTATTTCTTAGCTGTAGTTTTTATATCCGTGTTGTCAATTAAATTCTGGTGTGCATCTTTATCCCGAGTGTTGCATTATCAATTAAATCTTTTCGTGATTAGATTTTGTCGTCGATTAAATTCTGGCATAGTTTACTTATGTTTGGTTTCGTCGTAGAGTATGTATTTTCTATGCCTAGTCGTCGATTAAATTCCAGCACGGTTTGTATTTGTATAGTCTCGTTCGAACTCAAGTTGTTGATTTTTTTATCACCAGTGATATTTCCTGTTCGGAGTCGATGTAGAACCAGTCTCCTTCAATTTAAAGTCAAAAAACGACTTTTTGTGAAAAATATTTCGTCACGGAAGAACTTCCGGCTAAACAACTACAATTCACGAGATTTCTAAACAAAATTGCAAATCTCACCTCCTTAAATATGAGTTAATGTAAAAAAACTTTTTTCACATCGGCCCTCTAACCTTTAGTCAAGCTTCTGCATCGGCCACATTTATTATCATGTGATTACTTTTTCGCGAAACAAATGGATCATAGAAATTCGTCCATAATTAGGAACACCGAAAAATTATGGATCTTCCTAAAATTAAAGGGGTAAGTATAGTTTTAGTTATTGATCTTTTCATTATTTTTGTGATTTAGTCCTCTATATTTCTTTCATGCAATTTAATCCTCAAACTATGTCCACATAAAGTTAAATCCATCGGTCAAGAATATCACTAATAATGATGGCACGGCGATTTTGTAACAATTCGATTCGTTCCATGTGGGTCAAACTCGGGAAAAAGATACCACAAATGCCGTAATTTTCGTACGTCGCTCATTTGAGTGCCAAAACTTTTTTTTATCACTTGAGTGTCATAAATTTTTTTTCCTATCACTTGAATATTATATAATTCTTTAATTGATCACTTGAGTCCCACAACTTTTTAAAAACATTTACCCAAGTGCCTAAAATTCTGACGTGTCATAGCATTTTGTGGTAAATGTTTTTAAAAGGTCATGGCACTCAAGTGGATCGATTGAAAAGTTATATAATACTCAAGTGACCCATTTTTAGAAATCATGGCAATCGAGTGGATGGAAAAAAAGTTATCACATTCAAGTGAACGCTGTACGAAAGTTATGGCGCTTGTAGTGTCCTTATTCCGCCAAACTCTCAAAAGGAGTAATTCAAGTAAACACGTAAAGTAAATTACTATTTCGGCAAATGTTTACTTATAAATGAGTTAATATGCCTCTCTCAACCGATGTAGGAGGATTTGAAAATGTCATAAATTCTTCCAATTAAAAGAATTGTTGTACGCAAAAAAACCAAAAAAAAAAAGAATCGATGTCCTCTGCTGGTAACTCTCATTGATATTCCCCATATTCAATATATGGTCTTTTGCTCTCTTAGAATGATGCAAAGTTGAGTAACCTCTTGAAAAAGTGCTTACATGTACATTAATAAAGTAACCACATAAGGTGTTGACAATTGGAAGATATCTTACTAATAAATCATTCAAGAGCCTTATATGCATTCAATGTGGGACTTCGGGGTTCATAAGCGGCATAGCAACGCTCCCTCATTGTTAGATCAAGTACGAGTCTAGTTTGTAGATGAACCATACACCTAAGCGATGGGGTCTAGTTTGATACCAGTTTGTAGCGGTCGGATCTGTTTCACATGGGCTAAGTCCTCAATTTTTCTTTTGAGTAACCACACAAAATGGTGATCGTTTGTGGGAGCGAGTGTTCGCTTTATGAATCACTCGACAAAGCTGCTCTTAATCGACGTGGGACTTGGTATGTCGCGGATATTATAGCTACTGGAATATAATATGACAAAAAAAGAGAGTGAAATCAATAAATAAAAATTAGAAAAAAATTGAAGCAGGTTAAAATAATACGGGAGAAGGATTCGGCTACTCAGCCATCCATGAGGAACACCCATCACCGATCCTCACTGGAGAGAGAGAGAGAGAGAGGGAGAGAGAGAGATCGATGGAGACAAGATGGCGACCCTACCTCCGCCGCAAGCAGGGGGGGCAAGGCGAGGGTTCGTGATCCTTGCTAACGATGGGGATCAATTACGCGGGGACTCGCGAGGCGGCTAGGCCAACATCGCGGCCTCGCCGCATTCTCTCTCTCTCCCCCCGCCTCCGCCTTTGTTAAGAGTTTAGGGAAGGCCACTGCCCCTTCCCATACCTCGGTAAGGGCCGACGGTGGCGGCCACATGCCCGGGCGATCCAACCACACGGTGTCTCTGTTTTTTTTCTTATAAAAGCTCTGCTTGAGTTTTCCAAGCGCCATTCGTTTTATTAATCTAAGTCTACGTATGCCACTTCAACACTAAAGAAAAAGATGTACCATTTCTTTATAAACAATACCCCCTCCAATGGCAGCCAACGGATGTCCTTTCAGCCGTACAAATGCAGATAATTTGAGGATGACGGTGCATAAAAAAAATGAACGAAGGACCATATGGTACAAACAAAGATAAAAATGTCTAGTTAGTACTATGCTTCGCCCAAAAATAGATAATAAAAAAAAGAAGAAGAAGGTACATTAAGATCGATGGGGTATCAATTTACGAGCCAAATTAGGGAACATGCTGGAATTTGAATATTTGGCCACTACTTGTGACGTCCTGGCATATTCATACAAATCAAAGATTCAATTTATTTTATGACCGGTAGAGAAAGCACGCACGCTCGTGTACGCGACGAGAGGGGTGAAATGATGCTCGATTGAACTGCTCCTAAGGGGTAAATGGTGAACCGCTCCACTTGGTTTCGTGGAAATTGATGTTTTAGAAGTCCACGAAAATATTTAGACGTGAATTGTCGTTGATAATGAAAACATCTTTCGGTAACTAATTATTTCAAGATTCAAACGATCGTTTTTAGGAATATGTTTTCCATATCACTTTTCGCGAAACACAATGATCGCCATAATCAATTCCACTAACTATCCGCCGTAAAATATTTTTCAGAAGAAAAATAAATTTCGCAATAGGCAATTGATGAAAAATTATACCTAGGTTTTATGAGGGGGGGAGACATATATCATACAATACTCGTCACGAATTCTTCTCAAATCTCAATTTCCAACCGAAATAAAAGTTTTTTCGGGCACTTTTCGCGTGTGATTTTATATCCAATCAGATCAATTATTATGTATTTAAGCATCACAAATATTTTTTTTTTGACCTTTCTCGAAATAATAACAGCTTTTATGTGTTGACCAATTCGTATGGTTGCCTGTGTTCTTTTACCGACATCTGAAGATCTCTCGACCCGGCTTCGATCCACCGCGTATCCATTTTTTTTTCCCCGGTTCGACACGGAAAAGAAGTATTTTCCACAACGACACGCGACGGTGACGGCGCTACCACGATCGATTTTAATCATCGTTGTTCGTACGCTACAAATCCCCACTCAGCATTTCGCCTTCGACCGATCGGTTACTCCCACGTATCGATGTCGCGCGACGTGCCCGTCACATAAAATACGTTCTCGTCCGACCCGACCAAGACCGAACACAAAAAAAAAAAGAAAAAAAAAAAAAACCCGGGGAAACAAAGGAACGGCTCATTTCTGTAAGAAGTTTGACTAAAACCGAGCGTTACAGGCAATACCCGGTAAGCCGGTGACTGTTACGAAAAGAAAGAAGCGCGAGCGTACTGCTGCACGACACGTGGCAGCCCCGGCCCCATTGGCAGTTGGCAAGCATTAACTGTCCTTGGCCCCCCCCCTCCTTTCTCAAAAACGTTGTCATTGTCAAAAAACAATTTCATTATTTCGGCTAAATACATAATCGGTGCCCAAAAAAAAAAGAGGAATATGGCCGATTACTTTAGCCATTTCAAAGGGGGAAAAAAAAATTAAAATCCTAAAATGCCGTTTGATATTCACCGCGCATCATCGAATGTCAGTGCGTTCCGAAAGATTAACCGGCGTGTATGCTCGGGACTATATCAGTTGAGAATCCACGATAATTATATGGACGAACCGAAATTTCCAGAGGGGAAAAAAAAAGGAGAGAGAGAGAGAGAGAACCCATTTCAGAGTTGTGAGAAATGGAATCGAGTAATCGAATTTAAACGAGGACCATGTTCATCTTAGTACTCATGCTTAGCTATGTAATGGGATACTATTCAAATATGCAACAGTTCCAAACATCTGTACCTTTTTCCCTTCCTTCCCATCCTTCCCATCTGGCTCTCTCTCTCTCTCTTTCTCTCTCTTTCATATTTGGAATTATTGCAGGGGTGTACAGAGCCAGAGTACACTGATCAAGCAAGCAGTTGGCTCCTCAAAAGCTGTGCCTGGATTTCAAAGCTCTCTCTCCCCCATTGCAAATATCCCCACCACCGCCGCCATCGTCGTCTCCTCCCTCCTCCTCTTTGTCTTCTCCACCTCCCTCTCCTCGTCATTCGCGTTTGATCCTCTCTTCCCCAGATCGAGAAATCGAGCTCAAAGAGACAGAGGCGCCTCCTTTCTCTCTCTCCGTCTCGAGCGCACCCTGTTCTATTGGTTTCGGCATTTGGGGTCCGCTCTTCGCCGTCCGTACAGGTAAGCGTGCGTGCGTGCGTGCGTGCGTGAGTGTGCGTGAGTGTGTGGGGTGTCGTGTTCGTGATGGTGACGATCCTTCGCTTCCCGTGTTCACCCATTCCACTTTGGAATGAGCTCTTCATGGAATTTGTCGAGCGGAAAAGGGTACTGTTCTGAAATGGTGGATTTTCCGACATTCCTCCCCACTGAGCTCTTCCCAGCTCCAAAGAGATTTTATTATTGCCTTTGATTGATTCTTTGACTTCTGCCCTTCTTTTCTGGGAAAATGAAGGCAAAAGATTTCTCTTTGACCCTCGCTCGTCACCGATTTGTTCCTGCTGATTTTCTTTGGTTCTGGGTTTCACTCCTTTTACATCAGCTTTTTCTAATTTGAAGAAATGGGGGGGGGGTGGGTTTCTCGCCTCATGCTCTGTTCCTCTTGGAACTCGATGATCTGTCGCTGAAGGAGAAGTAGAAAAATTGAGAATTGCCACTTCATGTGTTTGAAAGTTCCATAATCTGAGCCCCAACAAAAAAAAAGAAAAAAAGAGAGAGAACATATGTTACATGATCTCCAATTTCTTCATTCCAATGGGTGTTTGTCTTTTCTATGTAGAAAAGTCGCCATTTCCTAAAATTAGGCTAAATTATCAGTTTGAAGGAGCTTAGCGTAAATTTAGCAGAGTGCTCACCTTTTTCTTTAATCTCTTTCTTTTGAAAACCATGGAAAGTGTACGTGTACCCAATGTACTGTAAATTGATGTCATTCTGACTTGAAAGCAGAGCGAAAATGGCTGAATCACCAATAAATCCATTCACGCATTCATTGTGACCCCAATTTTGCATATTTGGAATCGTCCTTTATTCAGACACGTACTCGGAAAATTTCGTGCCAGACTCATTTGTCTCCATTTACTGCCAGCTCTCAGCCTCTCTCTCTCTGGGGTCTCTCCATATCTAATGCCATGAAATTGAAGAAGCTCACAAACTCTGTGTTGTCTCCCTGCATTCTTTAATGACACATTCTGATCTTTCTCCTTCTTCTTCTTCAGGAAGTCCAGCCGAGGCAAAGGAACTTTCTTGGGGCAGGATGTTAGCCTGTAGTTTCATTAACTGCAGCTCTGTCGTTGAGCTTTGCTATTTCGCATTTCAAATTGCAAAATTCCAACTTTAAGGAGACCCAAGATTGCGAATTTTTGAGGAAGATCTCTTGAGACGAATCATTACTCTCGCTGCAAATTGATGGGTTTTTTAGTTGGCAAGAAAATGCATTTTCCTTTTCCATAAATGAGGTTCTGGGTATAACTCCGAGAGGTGGGATTTTGGACTATCAAACTTGGTTCAGTTGGGTTCCTTGTGAATTAAGCACTTTGTTTTGCCCCCATATTTGAGAGAAATGTTAGAGGGGCCTCAGTTTTGTTCTTCTCGGGTTTTGTCGCCGTTTCGCGAAGAAAGCGGCGACGAGGAGCTCTCCGTCCTACCGAGGCACACCAAAGTCATTGTGACTGGAAATAACAGGACCAAGTCTGTACTAGTGGGGCTTCAAGGCGTTGTCAAGAAGGCGGTCGGCCTCGGTGGCTGGCATTGGCTGGTATATCTCCGCTCTTATGCATCTGTAGTTTTGCTCTAGCTAAATTAGTGATTCTGTATCCATCCGTCTTGGGTAATTTACTTGGTTAGGACAAATATTCTGTATCTGCTTGCTGTTGAACTGCATAACCAATGTCTTGTGCATTAAGAAAGTGATCATCCAGACATTTTGAATATTAAGGATTAGAGTGTCTAGTTGTCACGTCCTATCAATGAACAGAAACAATTGGTTGTTGAGTGGAATTGTCTGGGACATGTTTGTCTGCCTTGTTCCTGCTTGGATGGAGTGAGCTAATCAAATGTTCATTTAATTTGTCCTTTCTATGACAATGCTGGAAAAAAGTGCTAGAACTCTAGTTAATTTAAAGTTAGTTCAGAATCTGAATGTCCAACGACACGGTCAGTGGTTGGTATTCTGTTTAAAGTATGATGGTGGTGTAATATTTAATTAGCGAATCTTGCAAAGTTTGATTGCATATTTTGTTTATTGTAGGCTATATGATCCTTTAGCAAATATCAAGTGAAGTGGGTAATTGATATTAACTATGCCCTTTCAGATGATGAACTGAGCAAATTGTTATCAAGCACAATGATTGTTCATTTTAATATAATACTACCGCTTGTCTGTCATTCTATGACATAGGCTTTTGTTTTCTATGAAACATAATTTGATCGTAAAAGTTCCATCAGAGGAAACTTCTGGAAAGCAAATTAATTTTGTTAAGTTGTCATTGACCTTCTGTATGAAGACGCTCAATATCCATGCACAACGCTACTGACAACTCCTGTCTTTGCGAAAACTCAACATGTTTTTTAAATCTTAATTAGTTAAAACGGTCGTGTTAGATTACTCATTTTCACTCCTGATATCGATCGGGAATTAAACATTAGGATACAACTTTCATGACGAATTACTAAGACACAGATACTTGTTGCTGCAGGTTCTGAAAAACGGGGTTGAAGTTAAGCTACAAAGGAACGCGTTAAGTGTGCTTGAACATCCAACGGGCAATGAAGAGGACGATGATCATGATTTTGACTCTAGTAGCGGCTCTGAAACTGTTGAAAAGGATCGTGATTTCTGTATGTAGTGTTTTGGTTCTTTTGTTATGTTGTCTGACCTTGTTTCTCTAGTTGTATTGTCAATCTCACATCTTCTAGGAAAACTTTCTAAGGTAATGTTTTCGTCCGAACAGCCAGTTGCTTTGACTTCCACAAATTTGGCAAGCCAAGAGGTAGGCATACGAGGCCATGGATCACATCTGCACCAGCAAAATCAGTGAACCGAGGATGCTATAGAGATGTGCAGTCCATTATTCAGACTCCTCAGCTGGTAAGAAAGTTATGACGCATTTATGTGGTATTTTTTATCACTTTGTTTTGTTTCAACTAATCTCACAGTCCTTAAGAAAGTAACCAAGTATGTTCATCATAGCGCAAGTAACATAAAGCAAATCTTTTGTGCACCTAACAAACTTTTCTGACCATGTGATGATACCCGTTCATTCCATGCCTCAGCCATGGATAGCTGCAAAAAAGTAAATTTGAAGTTTAGGTCCTTTCATCTATAGAACCATTATTGCTTCACTTAACCACTTAAGCTGCTGATTACAAGAGTAATGGTAGGTTTAACATACTCACAGTTAATGACTTCTCCGTGATTTGCTCTTCAGAGGGTAAACCTGTCGAAACTTGGGACGAATTCGCTGTGGAGATATTGCAAACATTACAAACTCGTAAGTCTTTTTGACAAATTTTCGATACATACCTTTTACATCCAAAAGGGTTGTCTGCTCAGCTTTGCTCTTAATGTTCTGTACATAGGTGAACACCGGTTCCAATCCTGGAAGGGAACAAATGCTTAAAGCCGTGGGTCGGCATTTCTCATCACAGGTCTCTCTCTCTATGAATGCGCTTGCGTGTTTTTTTTTTTCTCTCTGTGAAAACATGAAACTTACTCCATTGCATATGTCATACACGATGTTGCAGCAAGTGAACGAGACAGAAGTGATCATGGACTTCATCCGTCTGGCCAAGAGACAGAAAGCGGGCGACGCCCGCGATTACTGAGAACTCCTGGAATGTCGGGATGCTTGTGATTAGACTGTACACTCCTCAAACCCTAACACCTTTAGATGACTGATAGAATGATGTGTGGAAACGGTTGATATGTGCAGCCATGTTCATTATCTCTCACAGATCCTAACCCCATTTAGTCGTGACTGAAGAAGACTCGTGCACCATGACGCTTTTTAGCTGTCAATGCCAACTTAGTCGTCTCCATCCCTTCTCTAATCAATCGAATGGTCTTTTTATCCTTAGATACGTGGCACTTTGATCGTGCCAGATGCAAGAAATTTGTCTACTCAGATCTGTACAAACGCTACCGAAACAAGGGACAACCTAGAATTCGAAACATAAATGCCGACACATTCAGCACGATCTGCTTGAACCAATGTTTTTGAGAGATTGTGCGCGAAATGACAAATTGCTAAGGACAGTGTCTCGTTCATGACATGCCTCGGCCGATGGTATAAGCAATTGGAGAAGACAGTGCTCCCCCAATTTAAGGTTTCTTGCGCATGATATTCATGATGGACTGGATGATGGTATCATAATTGGCGTGATTAACGAGTGTTGTTATCACCCTAATCATTTTTCATTATTTTAAAAAGACTAATGTCGCAAGGAAAGGGGACAGGCCAGGCTGTCACGAGACATTATGCAGCAGACGGTGATGCTGACATTTTTTCTCAATGGGACTACTACATTGATGTGATGTGGAATTGAAATTGCCCCCACCGCCATACCAATTTTCTTCCCTCTTTTATTTATGGGCCAAAGGGGTCGGGTCCATCCAAAAGCTTCCCCAGTCAAAACAGGACATTGAAGGAGAAAGCTTCGCGCGGAGTGGGACTGTGTCGATCGAGTCATTTTCATGAACATGATGAGTTATTACCATACTATATAGTTTCAAGATTAACATAGAAGTAAAAATCTGATTTGAAGTCTGGAGATATTTTTACAGTTTATTTGTCGTTGGATTCCTATCTCTTGGTTTGTCACTGATCGACAAAAAGTATTATCTAAATTTATTTGGAGTTAATATCATAAAAACTTTCAAGTTGTACACCTGTATCACATTTACTTCAAATTAGTTTGCCATATTATAAATACAAAATCTCAACTTAATACATCCGTGACAGATCTGCCATCCAATATCCCCATTAAATTTACAAGCGACAAACAACTCGGATGATCGGTCTGTGACGTGGATCAGACGTCAAAATTTGACATAGATGGATTTTCTAAATGAAGTCGTTACGGGGAAGTCAGATTTGAAGAAAACGGACTGAGATTGAGACGTCTGCTAAAATCCCTAATTTTACCACAATTTTGCTTTAAGAATTTGGTAGATTTGTCACGGGTATACCGATTTGTGATTTTTTGTGACATGACAATTGATTTTGGATAAATGTGGCATAGGTGTATCGGTTTGAAATTGTTGGTGGCATTAACCCTTATATTTACTTTATCATTTGTGTGGCCATAAAACAAAAAGTTTTGGGAGCTTGGTAGGGAATATATTCACATATACAATAAATGGGGCTGAGTGGTACTAAAAACCATTTAATTGGAGCTTGTTGGGCTTTGTAAGTGGGCCGAACATGGGTAAAGATTAAGATACCCAATTTCTTGTGACATTCTTGTTCTTATTGTCGGCTTTCAAAAGAGGCTTTTGGAGCACAATCCAGTTCAGCTGTAGAAGAAACTTCTCTCACACACACAAACACAAAATGTTTTTTTTTTTTTTTTATCTCACTCCTCTTTACTATGTACATGTGTGTGTGATACTCATGAAAATCGAACCCCGGACCTAGTATTCTCTAGCCCCACCCCGCAATCCCTTTACCAGTAGGACCTCATGCATGTTGGTCACACACAAATTGTTGATGTTGTCCAAATACTTCTTCATGATGATTCTCCTACTTAACTCTCTGTTGACAAAATCGGTTGCCATAAAGAAATTCCTTTGACACTCTTATATAATTCGGTTTTGTTAGTTCTAGTGCGACCCCTTACAAGACCTTGTAAAACAAATTGCACTAAAGCCATACGAGCACTTGTCCTGTTAATTCATAAGAGCAAAGCATTTTTACAAAGACATGGAAGAAACTTACAAGGAGGCCAATTTCGGTATCATGGAGTTGACGCCACCACCATCAACAATTAAGCGAGCATTTCGAGTTTTAAGACCCTTGTAAATTGGAGATCTAACGGCAGTCGCTTACCGAGTTTTTGACCTGTCGAAATTGAGAGAGGATCGATAATTTTCTGTTAAAATTTTGTAAGCTATATAACTAAGTATTCTTGTGAATTTCATTTTGTTTTATGGGTTTTGGAAAACCAAAATAAGAGAAACTCTTTCCTATTCACGTGGAATTTAATCATATTTCCACCGTTTTTATTCCTGGACATAAAAAAATTTATAAACTAAGATTAAAAATATTGTTCCAGTGAAAGTGGGCAAAAACAGGCCCTTATAGCTCAGTGGTAGAGCGTCAGTCTTGTAAACTGAAGGTCCGTAGTTCGATCCTGCGTGAGGGCACTCTTTTTTGCCTTTTCTTTCCTTCTTTGCCTCTCTTTCTCTCAGTGTTGCTCGAATTCAGATTGGAATTGAGGACATCGTGCTGGAATATTTTGAACTGGAGATGTGAGATCCCACCCTATTCATTCCGGCCGGCACGACATCGGAAGGCGGGCAGAAGCTACGCTTCTTTTTGGTTCGGTCATTGTCGGTGGATGCTGAAGCTGAAACTCTGAGAATGTCTCATGAACTATGAACAACAACAGCAAGAAACGATAATATTAGCCTAAAGCTTCCTTCATGTAATTTCCTTGGGTTCTTTCCCGCTCTCTTTTGACCCTCTCACGCATTACATTCTGCAATGGGAAGTATATAAAGGTCATCGGTTCACCGTTCCAAATCGCAGAATTCTAACAAAATTAGTTCCTCATTAGTGAATTTCGATGCATGACGGTAACTTTTGGAATGGGTTTGCAAATTGATGTCGGTAACTCTCATTATTGCGCTGTAATCTTTGAATGTGGTTTTCTTGCCAAAGATTTGCAGAATCTGTCCTTTGACATAACAGGTAGTTACGCCAAATTTTCGGCCCAAATGCTCATCTGTAATTCTAGAACTTCTCGAACATGATGATGATAAATAGTTCTTCTACCGGCAAGTTTTAACAGAATAATCATGAACACGTTCTGCAACAGATCAAATCGATCTTATGCAGGATCAAAGAGGAGAGAAGACTAATCATATAGTTCAGGGTTGGGGATCCGGTTGGAGCTACAGCTTCAAGATGACAACTCAGCAATGCTCGAGTTCTTGTTCAATGTAGGTTCCAAAAACTATTGAAGGGTTATCTACCTTCTTGAACACTAAGAAATTTCTGCAAATAAAAGAAATTGCAAAAATGAAACTCGCCAAGAAAAAAGTTAACCCCGTAGTGCATGCACCAAGAAACACACTAGAATTCCCCTAAATTTCTATTGTTGTCTTCAACACCTCTCTGTCAGAAACTGAAGCTTCACATCTGCATATAATCAGCTATCACTGATTTATAAAAGCTTACGACCGATTCAACAAGGCAAAACGAAGAATGCACATAATTACTTTGCAATCTCCATTGAGACTCCAACAAGCTTTAGCCATACAGGAAGAAATATATGCATACATAGCAGCTATTTAGGCAAGTCGATAGCTGATTAAAAAAAATTTGACGCTGATGTAAGTGCTTCAATCTGGTTCTACTAGGAAATAAAATAAAACATTTTGCTTTGCACAGACAAATTTCTCAGAGCAGATACCAAGAAAAACGATTTGAAGCTTAGTATAAGACTTTAACAACAATTTTCTATGTCAAAAGCTATACAACCTCCTCTCAAACTGAGGCCAGTGAATCTTAAGACGAAAAGGCTGGTCAAATCAGAGAACTTGTCAGTCATCTTATGAATAACAAGATAACGGTATACAAACTTATCAGGGGAATTTCAAAGCGGGTTTATTAAATACTCTTCTATGAATCTAATCTGACTTTTCTTTGCTTGCCTGAAAAGTAAAAATCTATGGAGAAGAATTGATTTGCATAGTCGCAAGAAACCTGGTGATTTTGCTCAGAGTTTCGCGAGCTGATACAGTTGTCGGATGATCTTCACCATAGATGGAAGTCCTGACAAAAATAGCCTTCCTTATCAGGTCGTCAGCTATGTCGAAATGTCCCCCTCTCAGCATTAGCTTGGCTCTGGTTTCTAGCACCGTCGCTCTTAATAAAGCAAGCTCCTGCCAAAGGCAAGGGTTGAGCTGAGCATTAGTCTGGACAGGTCTCCAGCAAAGTGATTTGTCCAACCACTTATCGACTGGAGTAACAAATGTTTGGTCCGCTGCTTCGAGAGCATCGGTGCAGAGGCGCAGCAGTTCTATGGCGGCACTACAGCGCGAAAATGTGATGAATGTCCGCACCGCAAGAGGAAGAGCCACTTCTTTGACAAAATATAACAACTCAGACACCTTGAGTTCCACAACTACGGGATCAGTACCAAATCCCAAGAGCAAGAAACACGCTGCCCATAAATGTTCCGAGTAATCATACACAAAACCACGACTGATTATAGCCTGAACCACGGGCTGCGGAATTCCTACAACTCCTCTCTTACGTGCATAAAGCTTGATAAGCTCATTAAAATGGACGCAGTCTTGTCGGATGCTAGTTCTCGCAATGTTAAACCTCAACAGCATCGATGCGGCTTCTGCCTCCGATCTCTTTATGTACGATGAAGTGCAGCAACAAGTCAAGGAGCACAATATTTTTTTGAACCGCCGAGTACCTTGATGCTTTTCAGGTATCTTATGAGCTGCTAGGGCTAATAAGGAAATTGGGATTGGAGCTGGGGCAAACCAACCACTTGCCTGAACCATTTTGGTAGCGAGGCTCCTTGGTCCGTCCGCATGGTCAAATATCGAGAAGCATACTTCAAGGAGTTGCAAGATGAAAGTGTTCCGCCTCAACAAAGTTCGTTCCTTTCCACTCCATGACAAGTCTCTCAAGGGCATTCTGTTGATGGTGTCCAAGAGCCTGCTAGGGTTTATAGGGAGCTCTGACAAAATAGATCCCACTATAGCAAGACCCAAGGTCAATCGTCCCACTTTCTCCTCGATCACTCTGAGGGCATCAATTTCAGTGAGTGAATGATCTTTGGCACCTCCCTGCATTAATTGCAGTGCCTCGACACCTGATAAGAAAGAGAGTTT